CTCCATTTCTCCTTTTTCCTTGGATCGTATTTTCTTTCCCCCCTTCTGCTTACTCGGCCTTCTTAGCGAAGCTTGAGTCCTTTCAAGGAAGTGGACCAGAGGGATTTAACCTGCCAGGATATTAACGGCTTATCTTGCACTTCTTACTTCAGCTCTTAGTGCTTCCTGTTGGATATTTGGTCGATTTTGGCGGGATTGGTCGCATGTTGGCGGTTTAAAGACACAATGGATCAGTAATCACGTGCTGGAGTTTAGGAATAGCTTCGCCTCCTTTATATGTTAGTAACTCAACTGTTTTAAGTCTTTTTGGATTGAAGGTGAACAATCGGGCCAAATTACGGACATAAGCTTTACTTTGTCTCTGCATTGGGCGACTTCAGTCCGTAAATAGAAGCAACTTTCTGCTCTAAAATAAAAATAAAATAAATACCAGTCTTTTGCTTCTCTTCAGGTTCGACGGTCACCAAACTTCCACCAGTCCGTCCGATTCCCCACAACCCTTATTGTGTCTCTCAAAAGGGAAGAAAACCAAACAACGGGGTTTGTTTGGGGTTTGCTGTAATTGCAGCTCATCGTTTAACTCCGTCCTCGAAGGACGCTCGCTCGCTCGCAGCGGGCGTGATGGTCCGGTGGACGAGTCCGCGGGGCGTCGCGCTGCTCGCGCTCGGCCCGAGCCCGACAGCCGCCGCCGACTCTGTTCTAACACGCCGCGCAGTTCCGTCGGCTTGGCCTGTGCGCGTGCGCGTTCGCTCCACATGGAAGCCAGATGTTTTGGATGTTGAAATCATTTATTCCGTAGGAACCAAAGCTTAAGTTGTTCTTCTCTGAGCTTTGAACTTTGGTGCTCGAGCTCTCTGATACGTAGTTCTTACACAACTTAAATGTTTATTTAAGAAAAAGAGTCAATTAATATTTTAGGAAATGGTTTCCAATGATTTGGTTGAATAGCGTAATCATTTAGTTTGTGTGATTTTCTACAGCGTCATCGACGCAGCGCTGATTTCAAGTGCGATGGGACATATGAGCGTTCAGACCCTCACGGTACCCAGTGTCTCCACACCGCTGTGACACGTTTATCCTCCCGAGCAGCGGGTTCCACATGACATCTCACTCAACTCGCAGCCGGTGCCACACGTCTTCAACAAACGGCTCGGCCCGGTCGGTTGGCACAGAGTCCGGCGTGTCTGCGTTTGGAGGCTTGTCACCGAATGAGTTCATAGGTCTTATCGGAGACGATTCATCAAACTCCAGGCGCTCCGGCTTCTCAATCCGGACTCAGTCCTGAGAGCTCTTAAGAATTCCTTTCTAGCCTCCCCAGTGAATTCAGACCATGTGCATTTACGATGCAGGGTTGTTGCTCCGCCTGAGGCCCCCCCCCCCCCCATTCCTCCTATTCATTGTGAATTATGTAACGCCATTACAGCGCCTTGCTGTGCTCGGGCCGGACCTGCAGGGGTTGATGAGCGCGTCGTTTGATGAAGGAGGACTAGAAGGCAGTTGCTCTTCAGATGTTGGATTTGTGTGAGCAAAGATACAGATTATACTATTATTCCCTCTGGATCTGAGTTGTGCATAATCACCATAATCCACATCCTGCATTTAAGCGTGCACATTGAGATTGGTTGTTAAAATCTGGTCGAGGTTTTCAGACTTTTATTTTAAAACAGAGCGTTTATCCTCCTTGTTGTTGTTGCTCAGTGGAAAAAGATAAATATCTGTTAGACGATCTGACGGCTGAGGGATCACGCGAATCAAGGGCCTAAATAGAGCTGTGTGTTTCCCCCTCCGCCTCTCCGATTAGGCTCAGGGGCTAAAAAGACACACACGGGGCATCCAGGTATTCATGGGGGAGAAGCTAAACACGCCTCCAGGCTCTATTAATATCAGCACGTCACAGTTATTCACTTACGCCATCTGTTGACAGCAGCCAAAGTCAAATGCGCGACAACCGTATCGGCTTTATTTGCCAAGGGAGTTCGCTTCCGGGACAGACGTCCCAAAGGGACGCCGCGATCCGAAATAGACCTTCAGGAGACCCACAAGTCATCGGCGCAGGCAGCCGAGCATGCCGCCCCGCGCTGGTGGCATTTCCTGTTTAATTCCACGGCGCTCGGCTCCTCCGCGAGGCGGGCGAAGTGGAGGGCCGTCACTGTGAAGTCACGTGACCAATGCGACTTGGAGCTCACTCATTTCTCATCAGCTGAATAAACACGTCTCCTGGCAGCGAAGTGAGGGGGGGGGCGGGGTGATTCAGCTCCAGACGTTGGCACTATTTCTAAAAGCTGTGCCCTTTGAAAGGGCGCCGTTTAAATGTTTTAGCCACGTTGTGTCAGCGTCTGCAGCCCACGAAACAAGAACTTTACCACGACAGCTCCAGCTCATTATAATCCACGTTCAGGTGAAACCCAACATCTGGTGGTCCGGGCCCCAGATGAGGGTCTGTGGACGCTGTCTGTCAGGGAGGACGCAGGCTGGCGGTGCTGCCTGGTTGTGCGCGTCGGGAAATCAAAGGCCGCCATTGTTGGAATGAGAAGCAGATGTTAGTGAGGAATTCTCCTGACAGCAGCAGTTTTCTTTTTTTCATGCCCTTCGCCGCCTCGCTCCGTGTCCCTCACTCCCTGTCCCTCGCTCCGTGTCCCCCGCTCCGTGACCCTCGCTCCGTGTCCCTCACTCCCTGTCCCTCGCTCCGTGTCCCTCGCTCCGTGTCCCTCGCTCCCTGTCCCCCGCTCCCTGTGCCACGCTCCGTGTCCCTCGATCCTGCTTTCTCTCGCCTCCTTCTCCCTCTCAGCCGGCACCTGAAGCTGTTCTTCTTCCGTCCTCCTTTTTCGCTCTTTTCGGGGTGGAGGGGTCCAGCGCTGTTACAGTCAGACTCTCCTCACCCTCTAGATGTTCATTGGAGGAGGGAAAGAAAAATGATAGAGAAGGAGGGGAGGGGGGCGGACTAGTCACACTGCACTAGTCTGTTTCCCAGAGTGGGATTTGGTGGCTCTGAGGTTTGCCACGTTGACAGAATGGCTGTCAGAAAAAAAAAGGTCGTGAGGAAGAATACGGCTGCTCTTTGTGCGTGTAGATGGACTTTAGTGTTGCATCACACTTTGCACAACAGAGAAGTGTGTGTGTGTGTGTGTGTGTGTGTGTGTGGACAGCAGCAGTAATTTCATTACCCGGCCCTCTCCTCCCTCACTCAGTGTGGACGACAACCCACACTTTGCTTCCACGGCGGACATTCGCTGTGTGGCGCTGCGTCACGCTCGGGGGGCAGACGTGACACCATCGACCTTGAGTCCCATCAGCGCCGATGACGCGCGCAGCCGTGCGCTTCCACCGCCAGCAGCCAGCCGTGTAGTAAACGGGTGGGACGTGTGCGTAAGGACTCGTGTTACCGGCGCAAAATGCAATACGATATGAATCCCGCTGAGCGCCGTTCGCTTTTCTCCCGGGGGAGATTAAACTAGTACGCAGATCTGTTCTAAAAATGCCTTAAAATATAAGAAAAGGACAAACTTTTCTTCACATTCCTCCCTTGTCAGGCAAACCGTGAGAAAGACACATCTCGCTGAGCTGTGTTCCTCCTGCACACCACCATCACTTTGACCTGAGGTATAATATATTCCATACAGAAGGCACATTAACCAGCTTTAAAAGGAACTTCTCTCTGCTGTGAGACGGGGGTTTGATGAGGATGATCAAGCAGAGACGAGGCGCTGAAGTCAGTTGCCTTATTTTTCTCTGCTTGACACCATCAGAACATTCTGCATTCTGCATGCTCCCCGTCTCTGCTGCAACAAAGCAGTGTTACGCGGCGACAGCAACGGGCACTCGTGTGCACTCTGCACTGCGCGTGAGGTCCAAGCATCAGCATCACTGCTCACAATTGAGTGATTCTGAAGTTTTCACTTTGCTGTTTACTCTCCTGGTTCGTGAAGGCAAACGATGTTTGACTTCATGTCTCATGCAGCGGCTGGATACGGCCTCACTGCAGGTAACCTGAACTCCTTGTGGCTAAAGCGCTTCGCAAAAAAACCCTCCTCAACTGTTCTCTACGCTGCGAATAAACCAGCGACTCTCCCTTTCAAAGGCAAATGGGCTTCTCGCTCCCTAACGCGGTCCGTCCCGTCTGCTTAGAATGACAACACTGCGTGACTCTCACTGGGAAGAAGTGATCATCTAGATTGATTGTTCTTTTACGGTCTTTTGTCCGGCCTGAGACTTCTCACACGTCCTCAGGCTCAGTTCATGCTGGGAGCTACAAGCTGCAACTGGTACAGGTGTGTGTGTGTGTGTGTGTGTGTGTGTGTTAGAGAGAGAGGGAGGCGTGTAGTTAGTAGAAAACAACGCTTTTATGTGACAGAAGCATAAGCAGAACTTTTTTTAACCCGACTTGTTCTAAGATGAAGTCAAAAGTGTTAAAGCAAAAAGCCAGTGTGCAGATTTTCTTTCACATACTTTAATTGTAACGGATTTCCTTTTGTGTAAAAGTAAGCATTGCTTTGAAAACAATACAAGCCCAAGAGATGATGATGGATGTAAAGGGACATTCTAAATGCTCGCAGTTCCCAAACACAAAGCCACAGTTTGACTGCTCGCAGCAGACTGTGAAGAATTCAAATCCAACAAAAGCCCGTCAACAGAAGTGATCGCTTCGACTCAAACCAAAGCCCGGATGAACACGTGGAGCCGTTTGGTTTACAGAGTCACACCCGACATCTACAGCAGAGGCGTCCTCACAGCTGTAAAGCTCGGTAAACACTGGTTGTCTTTAGCTGCTTTTCGGTCCCGTTCAAGTCCCCTGAAGTTAAAGTTGAATGTGATTGAAAGTGGCCCCTCGGCGTCTGTTTCCGTCAGCTGCATTTCCACCAGACAGATGTTCATCCGGGCCGACGCCCCCCCCCCCCCCCCCCCCGGAAAGAAGAAACCTGAACACCAACGCCTCCCATCCTTTGTCTCGTCACCGCACGTCCTCACCAGCTTTGTCCTCTCTGGCGGGTCTCCCCAGCGGCTGAACGCGGGCGCCCATGCTCCGCCCCGCGAGCGCCGCTTGGGCCGCCGAGGCCCCCAGGCGCTGGTGAGTGCCGCGCCGGGCCGCAACCTGAAGCAGAGGTAGCGGCGCCCGGCGGTCATCAGAGGGCTCGGAGCCCCCCGGCGGCAGGTCGGAGGGGGCCGGTTGTTCCTGTTCCCCCGAGCCACACGAAGATGAACAGACTGCACTTCCACAACAACAAAACCATGCAGGACCGCCGCTGCGTCTGCGTCTTTTTGCCCAACGACGACACGCTCGACGTCATCGTCAACGTGAGTGCGAACGCGGGCGACGTTCACAGCGACGCTGCTCAGCTCGACGCTTTCCCGTGGCTGTGAAAAGTTCAAGAAATAGACTTTTTTGCTTTTTTTTAAAATGACCACAGCACAAAACCACAGCCTGCCATTTCTAAAATGTGTTTTTTGTATGATTTATTATAAAATAAGCCAACTAGCTCGTCCCCCGGTCAGCCGTGTGTTAACGCTAAGCTAAGCATTGGAAATGATAAAGATAATAAATTGTGCTCGGTGTTTCTTGGCTGCTGCTACCGTCCCTTTGTTTATTCAATCTATTAACATAAACAGCTGTTTGATTTGTTTTCATTCTATGACAACGGCTCCGTATTAGATTTTCCATCTAGGTTCACTGAAAGACATCTTGTGGTGTAGAACAACGTGAGAAACATGTAAATAATATAATGGATCGACCTCCTCTCTCCCTCAGGTGAAGACCTTGTGCCAGGAGCTGTTGGTCCAGGTGTGTGACCTGCTGAGGCTGAAGGACTGTCACCTGTTCGGACTCAGCGTCATTCAGAGTGAGACTCGTCGTTATGGCAGAACAAGTTGATCTATAATTTAGCCTGTTTAGCCCCTCAACTGAGCACAGCAGCCCCTTATTGTCTGTGTGTGGATAAATGTCATCACCACGTGTCATCAAGTGCACGCCGCCCGCTCGCTTGTGTCATCCAAGCGCGGGCGAGCGAGCGCAGGAAGGCGGAGCAACGGGGGGCCCCGGTAAAAACACACGATGCGACTTCCTTCCTCAGATCCGTAACTCAGCCGAGAGGACAGGAATCCATCCATCTCTCACCTGCACGTCGCCACGACCGGCTCGCATTGTGCAACCAGGCCGCGCTTGTTTTTGCAGCGACGGGGCGGCGCTCACACAATGAGTTGCCGCGTCCCACGCCACGGCGAGGCAGGCCAGCGGGGGAGGGGGGGGGGGGTTTCAGTCAACTGGCCTGCAGGCGAGCCAATGACGGGCCCGGCGGGCCGGTTGAGCAGGAGCCAACGGGTCTGATTGTGGGACATTCCTCAAGTGTTTGTCTGAACGGCGTGAAATCCCAAAGGCAAACAGAGGCCACCCACTCACAGCGGGTCTATTCTCTCAATGGCTCACAAACTCTCAACTCTGCGTCTCTGTAAATTGACAGATTATTCTATTCCTTTTGGGGAAATAGACACATTGCTGTCAGTTACCTTGAATCAAGACGCCATAGTTGGGTTTAAGCTGCCTTCCTAAACGTTTAAAAAGTTCATTTCTTTCTAAACCCACTGATGCTTTTCAACGGGTTTTCAATGCACAGAAACTGCGAGTCGTCACACGAGCAGATCAACAGCTTAACGCCTGAAACCACGAGGAGCATCAGACACTGAGCGTACAAAGGGACGTGCGGACAGAAGCTGTCTGAGGCTCTTTCCCTGTGCTGCATGCACACGAACGCACCTTCAGCACCTGACGTGTTCCCCTCCTCCTCTGACAGATAATGAACACATCTATATGGAGCTGGATCAGAAAATATCCAAGTACTGCCCCAAAGAATGGAAGAGAGAGGCCAGCAAGGTGAGACATGGATTATTGACTTGCAGTCCGACACTTTTAACAGTGAGAAGAGGAGCTTAAGTCTCCAATGTTAAGCAGCGACCGTCGGTAGTGGATGACTTAACTTCCCAGCCGGAGCCGCAAAGCGAAGGATTTAAGACTACAAAGGTTGTTTGTATTTCTGTGCTGATGTTACAACTCTTGAATATTCAACAGCAGAAAACAACTCAGCGATACCAAACATGCAGAGACCATTTGAACTTTGGGAGTTGAGGATGTAAACTGATGATTTCTGCTGATAGAAATGTTAAATTCTTTCTATTCTAGATGATAAACAGGGATTTCCACTCGCTTCTTTTCCAGGGCATAGACCAGTTCGGGCCTCCGATGATCATTCACTTCAGAGCTCAGTACTACGTTGAGAACGGGAGGTTAATCAGGCAAGTAAAGCCCCCCCGAGCTCTCGCATCAAGTAGTTTAACACCAGTTAACCTACAACCCGCTTCATTCCTGCTTTGCTTTCTTCTCGTGCACCGCAGTGACCGGGCGGCCAGGTACTATTACTACTGGCACTTGAGGAAGCAGGTGCTGCTCTCACAGTGCATCCAAAGGGAGGAGGCCTACTTCCTGCTGGCAGCCTTCGCCCTGCAGGCCGACCTGGGCAACTTCAAGCGTAACAAGCACTTTGGGAAGTACTTTGAACCTGAAGCCTACTTCCCTTCATGGGTGAGTGTGTCCGACAAGTACCGTGAGTGTGTGTGTGTGTGTGTGTGTGTGTGTGTGTGGCCGACCATCATCCTGCTCGTTCATTTCACTTCCGGTTCACAGCAACCCACATCTGGATCCTTGAGTTTTCATCTGTTATTCTTTAGCCGGGATCAACAAGTAGACCTTTCATTTGCCACCGATGTCAATTTCAACATTTAATGTGTTCTTCTCAAACCCGAAAGACAGAACCTTTTTTGACTCGCCGCTTACAGACAACACGTCATTAAGTAAAATGCATCAAAAGTGTCTTTGTTAGTCCTTCTAAGGATCCAGCAATCGCCACCTGGTTTCTACAGAAGCTTCAGGATTGGGAGTTTTAATGAGCTGTAGCTGTTTAATTCTAGTGTTAGGAAGTTAAAATAGATCTTAATTCGCTCCCTAATATTGTGTGTTCGCTCTATAAAACTCAAGATGACAATGAAAACGTCCAAAATTTAGTTTTTTTCCAACCAACACGACACAAATCAAAGAAAATCAATTGTTTATGATACATAACTGGTGCGCAAGAAGCTTAAACGTTGTGTTAAGTACGAGAATCATAAAGTATTAGATATCCTCCATTAGTAAATCCTCCTGTGGTGAGTCAGTCTGATACAGAGATGCACTTAAGAAGGTCTCGGCCACAAACACACACACAAACCCACGCACACACAAACCCACGCGCACACACACACACACACACATCTCTGACTGGGAAGCTGGAGTCCAGTGAAGGCCGCCCTGCGTTGTGTGCAGGATCCGCAGCCACCTCCCATTAATCACCGGGCATGTGGGCCAGTGCGAACTGGGACGCGTGTTTATTCCCGTCCCTGCAAGGAGCACACGCTGTTGTTGTGAACTGCTGAGACTGACGTTTGGCTCCGCCCCCTGTGGCTGGGAGCGCCGCGCCCCGTCTGCCCGCCTCTCTCTTCCTGTAATTAGCCCCCACTGCCTCCTTATCGCCGCTGCAAGCCGCCGGGGGGACAGGAAGCGGCCGCCCCGCTGTGAATCTCCCTTCGATGTAGGTGCTTAGAGAGCGTTCTCACAAAATCCCGGCAAAAGCCGCAAAGCTCGTTCCCGCCGGGCGCCTCTCCCCTCTCGCCTCTCCGGGGCGACATCTGTTTTCCCACGCGGCAGAAGCTTCATGGAGTTGTTGACTGACCCTCCCCCCCCCACATCTCCCCTCCCGCTCAGGTGATAACCAAGCGGGGCCGCGAGTACATCCTGAGGCACATCCCCAACATGCACAAGGACCAGTTTGCCCTCACGGCTTCGGAGGCGCACCTCAAGTACATCAAGGAATGTGCCCACCTGGACGACGTCACTGTCCACTACTACCGGCTGTACAAGGTGGGAGGAGCGCGGCCGCGTGTTCTTCTGGTCTGTCAAGTGACGTGCGCGATATATATGTATTTGATCTTATATTCTTCTGCAGGACAAGAAGGAAGTGGAGGCATCTCTTACTTTGGGACTGACTTTACGTGGTATCCAAATATTCCAGGTAATTCAAGTTTCTTACGTAACATTGTAATACGGGTGGATGAAATCCAGCGTTCTGATTGGTTGAGAGTAAGTCACTGGGTGTGCACTATGCAGCGAGAATGTACAGTACCTGTTCACATTGACCCGAGCGTTCCGGGTCACTGCGCAGATGTTGCGCGACCGTTAGTTTAGACCGTTAACGTATATTAAGCATGAAATAAATCATTTGGGATTTTCGGAGCTCTCCTTAAAATCTAAATCTTACTGTACTGGAGGATAACTTACTGTTTTCCTACAACTCTTAGAGACAAATATGGAAGAAATAATACGTCTAAACAGTTTTTGCTGAGCTCACGTGTATTGATCGATTTCTCGTGCTTCTGTGTTGAAGAATGTCGGGTCTGTGCGGCAACTCCTGTACGACTTCCCCTGGACCAACGTGGGAAAACTGGTATTTGTGGTGAGTCAGATGCACCGGTGCGACTTCTTATGACCCAGTTTGTTGTTTTTACTCATTCCGGCGATGACGAGCCCAAGCGTCTCCTGGCTTGTGGCGGTGTTTTTTGATCCTGCCCACGGTGGTGGAAATTTTTACGCCCCGGCTCCCTTTCTCCACGCGGCTGTTTCATCTCCTCTGCAACTAATCGGGGATTTAGGAAGACTTTCCTTGCGCACATAGAAACACACACACAGGCAGAATCTGTATATTTAATCCATAACTTTGCACAGTGTGTTCAGCGTAATATCACCGGTGTCCCTCTGCCGTTTAAAGGCATCCCTGTTAAATGGTGTGACGTGCGCTCTGAGCTGAGCACAGCCGTCAGTTCGAGTCCGTTATATATAGTGTAAGCTCACTATGTGTCTGCTTCACAATCCAAAGAGCTCCTTATCGCTTATCAAGCAAGTTTAATGCTCTTTATTCATAAGCAATGGAAGGGACTTAATAAGCAGGTTTCCTGCCTGCAGCGCCCCGTCGTCCCTGCAGGCATTTGTGGTCGTCTCCGGCTTCACATTGGTGCAGAACAACCGTCGCGTCTGCAACACGCTGGGGTCTGCAGCGCTGCGAGAGTGAGCCGCTGTGGTTTCACCGCGGCCGCCGAGGGCCTCTGGCGGGCCGCGTCCCGCCCTTCTTCTGAATAACAGGCCTTCTGCTCCAACCCCACCCAGCAGTCACGTCACCCAACACCGCTGCCACCACGGCCGAGCGGGCCGGCAGCGCAGGCGAGGGGCGGAGGGGCGGGTGGGTCAATAAACACCAGATGTTGCGATGGTTTCAGGGGGGTTTTCCATCGGGGGATGTTTGGCCGCGACGACTTCGGCTCGCCTTTTTAAACCCGAGGTTGAAGCGAAGGACGAGATGCGTGTTCCGTGCAGAAAACGCGTCGCCTCCACGAGCTCGCGAGGGTTTCCAGTCGCACCGGACGCTGAAATGAAGCACGCGTCCTCGTGCCCAGTGACGGATGTTCTGAGGCTCGACCTGGATTATTCTGGTCTTTTTAACGGATGTCGGATTGGAAGGGGAGGTCTCAATGTGTGTGGCCCTTTAGGGAGGTCTCGATGGAGGGGAAAGTGATCCAGCTGTCCAAAGCAGAGTGTAGATGGAGTGACCATGTGTACTACATGACACAAGAAACCTTTCTAAGTGGCGTCGCAACGCCTTTTAATAGCCTGCCACTCAACGCAGGTCTGCTGTATTTGTTACATGTTTGAATCTTAAACCAGACGGGAGAATTACTTATGTGAGCATTACAGATGCTGTGCTTACAGCTCAATGTCCGTAACATCTGGCCCTGATTGGAATTTGGCGTATGTGAGTCTTCTTTGTTTGTTTGGTTGTCAAGCAACAATTTTTTTTTTTTTGACACATCTGTTTAGATTTTTGGAGTCAGCAACTGACTAACTTTTGCCCTTTTAACCTTTAATCATATTGGCAAAATCCGTGAAATATATACAATTTCTTTTTTTCTTTTTTATTTTGAGAACACCAAGGCCCATCAACATTGTTCTTTTATCCCTGGAAACTTCTCCTCCATCCTTTATATTGGCATGTTTGGTTCACAAACATTCAAAACATAGCAATGTCCTAAAACATTTTCAGTACAAACCACATGGCCGGTTACGACAACATTCTGAATAGTGAAACTTATCCTGTGAATAACAACATAAAAACACAAACCAGCCGACGGTACAAAGAGGTCAGATCACCAGGGGCGGCACAGATGTCCTCCCTCACACTCTCTCTTTTACTGGTGACCACCAGAAGCTGCAGAGAGGCAGTTTGAGGTCGAAAACAAACACTCAACTCTACTTTCCCACAGAGAGTTTTTCAGCCTCATGGCTTCCTCTTACTGGGAGAAAATGACATTATATAGACAAGCCACTGTCAAAGCCGGCTGTTTTTTATGACAACACAGAGCTGATTACGTATGATATCCTTGAACAGGCCTTAAAGCTGGTTCTTTGTCTGGTTGTACAAAGAAGGAAGCCGAGTCGTGTGGTTGGAATAGTTGCATTTTTCCTACAGCCTTAAACCCACCTTTGAAAATCCAGTTCCTCACAGAAGTGTTTATCGGACTGCGGAGAGACAGCTGCTGTCGGGTCGAGCCGTTGCCAAACAGCGTGGGGTGGAAGTGCGAAACCACCATTTTAGATCTTCCTTGCCGCCGGCTCTCCCTGGAAAACGCTCCGCTTCAGTCTGCGCTGGAAGAAGTGAAGAACAAGCAAACGGAGCGATTGTTCCATTGTGTTTGGACGCGGGACAGTTTTGAAGAACAGACCTCCTCCCCTGAGGGTCGAGGCCTGTGTGGCTCATCGGGTCCCAATCCTCACTGGAAGATCCACATTCCTATTTCACAACTCAACTTATATTGGCGGCCGCTATGATCACCGGTACCGCGGGCCATTTGGTACCGGACTGCACAGGAACCTCTTGGTCGGGGACCGCTGCCGTAATTGTCATCTTTCCCCTCCCGTTTCCCGCAGGGGAAGAAGTTTGAGATCCTCCCCGACGGCCTGCCCTCGGCGCGTAAACTCATCTACTACACAGGTTGCCCCCTGCGCTCTCGCCACCTCCTGCAGCTGCTCAGCAACAGCCACCGGCTCTACATGAACCTGCAGCCCGTTCTCAAACAAGTCCGCCGGCTGGAGGAGAACGAAGGTGGGTTCCTGCATTTTGATGTTGTTCTTGCATTTCATGTCACCGTCAAAACACAATCGCACAGTTTTACACTTCAAGTTGTTGGTTTAAGCTCAAACAGAGGAGGGATCAATGTTTTCCTGCAGTCAAACGTAACCCTTTGTACGGTTTGCGCTCTGTTGTTTGTACAAACAGAACCACAGAGACACTGCGTGTCAATCATTGGTATTTAGGGGCTCGGTTTAGTCTGATCCAGACGAGAGGATTTTTAAGATAATATTAGAAACGGTTCGCTCATTGAATGTCTACTGTGAACTCCGTCTGATCCGACGGCAGACAAGAAGCAGTACCGGGAGTCGTACATCAGCGATGCTCTGGAACTGGACATGGACCAGCTGGACAAGCGTTCCCGGGCCAGCGGCAGCAGCGCAGGGAGCATGTCTCACCACAAGCGGCTGTCCCGCCACTCCACCACCAGCCACGGCAGCTCGCACACCTCCGGCATCGAGGCGGACAGCTTCAGGGCCTCGGGTCAAGCGCCGCACAGGCCCCTGCGGACCTGCAGCTCGTCCACGACCAGCCACGGCAGCTCGCACACCTCCGGCATCGAGAGCAGCGGCAAGGAGCGGATGCTGGACGATGACGGTATGAGCGCGGCGTTCGTGTTGTTTTTGTTTTGTTTTCAACCCCCGCCCCCAGGGGGAAGAAAATACGACGGGAGCTATGAAACACCTTTGTGGTGAGTCGTAACAACTCATTTGTGTCTCTCAGAGATCGAGATGCTGGTGGACGACCCCAAAGACTACGAGGAGCTTCATGAGATGGTTCTGGACCAGGAGCTGTGCATCCACATCACCGAGGACATGTTGACCATGTCGCCCGATCCGACCAACGGATACTCAGGTACCATCACGACTCCATGTTTCTGCACTGCTTTACACTGTGACTCTACCACCACGGGAGAGTCAAAGCCGTCGCGTGCAGACGACCACAGAAGTGAAGATGAACAGCTGCGTTTCATCTCCGTGGCTGAATCTTCTGCTGCGTTCTTCCCAGGACTGATAGTGAAAGACGTCGGCTCCTCCACCTCCAGCTCCTCTGAGACGGTCATCAAGATGAGAGGACAGAGCATCGAGTCTCTGCCGCAGGTAACTCAACACCAGCATGTGCCTCTGTGGCTTAAATGCTGCATGGTAATTAAGCAATAAGGTACTGTATGTATGTATGATGTTACAGGTCAAAGGCGTTGACCTTTGACCTGTAACATCATTGGCGATAAAGTAAAGCCTTGAGTACCTTATTGCTTTCATAATACAGATGCCTCATAGTTCATAGTTAATCCCAGCAGCACTTCAGAGTAAAGGTGGAGGCGGCTCCGACTGCGTCTCTTTCCCTCCGTGACGTTTGCATTTCACGCCTGCAGCTTCTTTCGTAACATTTGATCTGTCGGCTCTCCCCCCGCAGACGTCTGCGTGCAGGAAGCCTCAGTCTTCCACCGACCGACACAGCCAGTCTCTGGACGACGTCCGGCTCTACCAGAAGGACTGCCTGCATTGGGCGGAGCTCTGCCAGGACACCGCCCACAGCTACACGTTCGGCTGCGCCCAGGAGCTGAGCGACGGAGGAGGAGGAGGAGGCGGCGGCGGCGGCGGCTGTCAGGGCCTCGCCGACCAGCGCGCCGGCATGCTGGGCGAGCAGCACCCGTTTCCCATCAAGAGAACCAACAAGTACTTCTCCCTGGATCTGTCCGGCGAGGAGGTGCCCGAGTTTGTGGTGTGACAGCGAGGAAACAAGGCGAGGGGCCCTCTCGCCCCCCCGGAGTAGAGAGGCTTCAGCCCTCGGGGGGAAGGAGAGGCGAGCGAAGGAGAACACTGACAAGTCGGCTGGCCGAACAACACACGTGATAGTAAAGGAACAAACGTGGGGGGGGGGGGGGGGTCGTGCGGAAAAAGAGACCTTGAGGAAAGTGACGCTCGCCTCAAAGAAACCTGCATCCATGCAGGGATCAAAACGACATTGTCACTCAAATCCTCCGAACTGGTTTTCAAGAACCACACGTTGTGTCCGCCTGCGTAATGAACTGCGCTACAGACTGTGTGTGTGCGTGCGTGTGTGTGTGTGTGTGTGTGTGTGTGTGTGTGTGTGTGTGTGTGTGTGTGCGTGCGTGCGTGCGTGCGTGCGTGCGTGCGTGCGTGCGTGCGTGCGTGCGTGCGTGCGTGCGTGTGTGTGTGTGTGAGTGCAGGAACTCGTGCACAGAGTTCAGCAAACGAGCAGCAAATCAAACGTTGAACACAGAAGACAAATATCACTCTGAGCGACGAACCAAAGACAAGAAATGGAAATGAACTCCGACTCTTTCTCGCTGCGTAGCCATGACGACAAACATTTCAAAGGGAGGGAGGAGGAACCCGTAATACTTTGGGAGGGTTCAGCCTTGTTTTTAATTCTTCCAAGCAACTTCATTTGACCTCAACAAGAAGTGCAGTGTGCCAACTCCCATGACCCCCCCACAATGTGCCTTCATCACATTATGCAGGTGGCAAAGCGCCGCCGTGACAATCACACTCCCCCATCGTCATTTCCTAAGACGAAAATACTCCATGGATTCCATTCATTGTTTTTGACTGTCGCCCACCTCGAGGCGGTTATTCCCATTCTTAAAGACTTTGATTTCAAGCCGAAGCCCGGGCGCGTCTCCCGGGAGGAATGAGGTCGGGTGGGTTCCGACGTGTCGTGACCTGCGTCGAGTCTGCAGCCGCAGAAGCTTCCCTGTAATCTGAACTGAAAATGGAGGCCGGTTGGCTGCCGGCCAAAACGTGAGAGACATTTTAAAGCATTCATGTGCGTCTCCCTTTCTGCTCAGTTGTCTTTCTTGTCTCTCTTGTTGACTTCTGTTTAATTTCACGGATCTTTTTTTAAACTGGAATTTCATTTTTTATTTTCCATCCTCTCGTTTTAGCCGATATTTCATTACTCGTTGTATTTTCGTTTGAGCTGTCCAGGCTTGTGTATGTTGAGCAGTTGTGGTTGATGTCCACCAGTATTACAAGCAAATATACGTGACAGTATTAAGGACGGGTGATGTTGGTGGGACTGAACAAGAGGTACTGGTTTTATCTTTAATCTCACACTAAGATCAGGAAGTGAAGCCTGTTGTAGCTGACTGGGTGTTGAGTTGCAGGCTCTTATTTCACAACAGGAGGTTGTTGCAGGTTAAAACAACCAACCGCTTTCCTTTTTGTTATTCAGAATTCTTGCGGCTCAGTAATCAATCATGTTTTTTTAAAGATTCATCCCCAATATGTGTAACTGCTCTGTGTTAAAAACAAGACTCTTCTCTTTTCTGAATCATGAGGAAAACATCACCATCACCCCACAATTACTGTCTCATTTCAACATTGTTTCTCAAGAGGATTTGATGTTCAATCAGGTTCAACACGTAACTTCAAGTCGTGAACACTGCAAATTTAAGCAATTGTAACAAAATCCACATAATTATCGAATTGTACTTTTGTTAAGATCAAAGAAACAAGATGCGAGCAGATCATGAGTGGGCTGATTGTTGTGTTGTTTGGTGGATTGCGTTTCCTTGCTGGCTGGCTGTTCCCTGCTCTTTATGCTAAGCTAAGCTAACGGGCGGCTGCTGGTGGCTTCACATTCACCACAATCTTCTCTTTTAGCTCTTAGGCAAGAAAGTGATGAGGCGCGTTTTGAAGTTTAAATGATTCACTGGTCACTGTGGTTTCAACCATGAACCACATCGCTATGCAAACACACAGTTCTCAATACAATACATTACAAAAGCAACTGATCAAGGTGAGAAACACACATTTATGTATCATGTACACACAAGTTGAAACCGCTACGTTTTCTTTCACTGATTTAAGCTTGTAACTATTTCTTGTCATTAATGAAAAAGCTCAAGTCATATTCAGATGGACAAAGGTGTTTGTTGTATCAAAAGAGCATGTGTTCGGATGCCGTCATGACCCGTGTCCTTTAAAGTCTTCATAAGTTGTTCTAACTTCCTTTTCTGACTTCCAATACCTGGTCGTACTTACTTAGTAAAGAACCTGTATGTCTGTGTCCACAATCCTTTCTGTGAAAGGAAGGAAGATATTAAAGCTTTTTCTGTCGCCTCTGTCAAAGACGTCGTAACCGCGGCCCCCTGACTTCACCTCAGCAACCACATCTGTCGCAGCCAATCATACGGCGAAGTTCGGCACATTCGTGGCCTGCTGCCTTTCCTACCGTGGAGACGTGGTGCCCGAAGATGGCAACTTGATGCAACGAATGCCGCCGCACCGGCGTCGAAGTGGGCGTCAACTACCAGCCTGCCACTGTGGTTCACGGAGGAGACCTGGCCATGGGGAGCAAGATATAAATAATAATAAATAAACAAATACGTTTTCTGTTTTGTGACTTAATTCTGCACATTCTACATTCTCATTAAACATAAAATGTCTTAGATAAAGATAAAAGGTGAATCATTTCACACACCAATGAAAGGCTCGTGAGAATGTCGGCAGTGATTTGACAGTCATTTCAAAGATGACTGATCCACTCGGCTACGGCTAATCTCCTTCAAAAATGTAGTCAACTGATCACGTCAGCGTTTGTTTTTCAGAGGTTTGAAGTCATAAGTGACTAATTAAAAACCCAAATACAGAGAGTGGACATGGAACTTCTTTTTCCAACTTCCCTCCCTTATCTGCACAGCTGTCACACTCATCTAATATGTAATTAATTCCAAATGTCTTGGGATGCTTTTCCTCCAGCATGTGGGATTATCTGAGTGTCAGCGGCTGACGGTTACTCAGATGAAGCCTCTTAAACCTGCGTTGTTCGCTAAATGATGATTTTTAGCCTTAAGCTCTGTTGAGGGATCATTTCTCTAAAGTGTTAAATCCAGCCGCATGGAAACAGTGAAACATTTTAGTATTTCAGAAACACGTGTTTGTGTTTAAGTCTGAATCCTTCCACACGGTGCTGATCCTCCAATTTCATCTGATTAAAGAATAATGTAACAGAAAAATACTCTTCCCTCAACCGTGCCGACACATGTGAGACTTTACAATGTGTCATTTGTTCTTTCATTTTAACTATATGGAAGCAGAGCAAAACTTACACGGCAGTTCAAACATGACAGTGTATTGCTGCCACCAAGTGGATGGATGTGATACTATGAAGCATGTTGCCGCGTTCAGGGAAATGTGTATATGTCTTCATTTTAAACTAAACTTGTAGTTTGTTTTTAATTTATCTCTGAGGGAAAAAACCGGTGAATTTACATATGTGTTACATATATAGATTTTGGTGTATTCATAGTTTTCTTTAGTGTCATGAGTAACGCGTAGTGTTCTACTGTAGTGTGTGTAGTGTGTGTATGCAGTGCCAAAGACGACCAGCAGGGGACATAATTACATTGACGGTCAGATTGACATCGTGGTGACACGCTGTTGTGTGCAGTTCTGACGTTGAACACAAGGCAGAGCACGTGAGCGTGCAAACAGGTAAGATCTTGCTAATAAGAAACATCTGTTGTGTCTTATTTGGGCGGCTCTATCCTTCAGAGGGCCGAGCCTTCGCTGTCTACGTAGGCCGGGTCCTTCATAGACCCCATCGGCTGAACCGTCTGTAACGTGAGCCGTTCTTGGGGTGTCCTTAGAACCCACTTCTCGTCGCTTCTGCTTGATTTCTTGAAGTCATATTTTCTTTAATATTTATTTCTTAGGTGCAACCACACGATGTAGAGCCCTTACTTGGTTACAATTGTATTTGTTATCATTTTATTTTAAATATTTAACTGGTGCTTGTGGGTGTGTGTGTGTGGCTTGGTGATGAAGCTGCGCTTCAGCTCTCAGTTGACGACAGTGTGTCCGGCAGCTTGCGCACAATAACGTCAGCACATGCACGTCTGATTGGATACACGCTCGTGAGAGGTGGAGCTATGCAGAGCTTGCTAAATGTGCCCGATGACGTTGTGGTGACCCGATCGAGCTAATTCCTGTAAATCGACAAGCTATTTTTATTCAAACTGCAATGGCTGATTGAGCAGAAGAGATAGATGCTATTTTCAAGACAGAAAAGCTAGACGCTGGGAGAAGAGGTGGGTCAAACCCAGCACAACACTGTCACAGGCACAGAGGTGGATGAATTCAGGTAGGACTGTGTATGACATCACTGACGGCCTGCGTGCAGTGCACAATATTTGATGTCACTACATCAGTAGTTTATCTCGATGATGACATCACCACTGCCTCCGACTCGTTCCTTTTTAAAAGAAAATCCCAAATAAACCATGCAAAGAGAAAAAAATACGTTTAAAACACATGGAGGCCGAAACAGAAATGAGCGGAGAGAGAATGATGATGTGCAATTTCAGAGAAAACATGGACGCCTTCCTCGGCGAGCTCCACCTCCTTCCTCTGACACAGATAACGTGTCTCCCCCTCTCTTCCCTCCAAGCTCCACAGCTGTACAGGAAATCAGTCATCCACCATCCACTGCTGTCGCCATGGCAACACAGGGGAGGGAAATCCATTCTCTTTCTCCGGCACCTCCCCCTTTCTCCCATTCTCCTCTCATTTCTTTTGTGTTGTTCTGTAGTTTCAAAGCAATCCCAATTCAGCGGTCTAACGTTCTTTCTACGGGTTTCCTTCGTGACACCTGCGTGTGTTTGATCTCCTTACGTATGGCCGCTTGCGGGCGATCATGTGGGCTGATTGTGTCTCCAGCAGCAGTGGTGACCTCTCCGTAAATCCCATGTGGGGCATCAGGGCGGCTCTGGTCGGCTCGGGCCAGCAGCTGCCTGGAGGAGCCAGATGGTCGCAAATCAGAAATGAAATCCACCCCCCACCCCTCCCTCCAGTCTAAATAACCCCATCTATCGCACACAAACACACACATGCACACTCAAATGAACGCTTGATCATTCGAACATCCTACATCCTCTGCTGCCCCTCCCCAAAGGACCATTGTGTGTCAGGGTTCTAACTTAAAAAGAGGGGTTAAGACACAACATTGTCACCTCTCCTACAAAACCTGACCTGTATTTCAGCTCCACCCGTATTCTCTTTACTACTCTAGAAAAGGCAATTTGGTACCAAATGTGCAAGTCATTGCATCCGCCCGCCTCCACTGAGGAGTGGATTAACAGCGCTTAATAAACCAGCCTATTAACCAAAACAGCTGGTTCAGAGATGATCCCCAGAGCCGATAATAAAACGCAGTAATCAGATTACAGATCTCTGGATTTACCCCATCTCCAGTGATGAAGGGAGGGAGGGTCTCCCTGTTGCTGTCTCTGCTGAAGCTCAACGAGGTCATGACCCACAGTGGCTCCCCACCAGAGGTACTTGGACCTCAGAGGGGATTTCTGCAGGACGCACGTGAAAAGTGGCGTGCTTGACAACTAGCCAGCGAGCCAGCGAGGGGCTTCGGGGACCCAGGAAGGGCCTCCACAGGAACCGCGTTGTCCTGGCGACCGAGGCTTCTTGTGATGCCTCCACAGGAACCGCGACTCACGTATTCTCCATCGCCCTCCTCCTTCCTCCGCCATCTCTTGTCGGTTGCGCACTGTAGTTTCGCGCTGCATCATGTCTGCCTGAAGGAAGTTGAGGGAAATGTGATTCACAGAAAACGTGACGTTCAAGTCGCAGTAGGGCGAACATGAGTAACAGGAGCCGAGTTTAGCCTCGGGCGAAGCGCGCACGGGCGTGGAAGCAGATGTACAGTATGCTCTCAGAAACACGCATGTGTGAGCTCATGCATGCGATCAGAAACATACAAGAGAAGGAAGCCATTTAATAGAGTACAATCTTCATTCTTGCTATTGACTTTTTAATTTGGAATGTCTTTAGTTTTGCAGGTATCTTGTGTCATTAAACTATTGGACACATTAAATCATGGTCACATGGTGCTAAATGAAAACGTGTTTAAAGGCTATTAAAACATATGGGGCAAAAATCTTGGCCGCCTTTATCCCAGGTAATAACACCTCGTGTCATACACACAATATCTGCACGTAGACTCTGAGGGATTTTGTTGAATGAATCTTGTACATGCAGAAGAAATACAGACGCGTTGGTGCACAGTTGCAGGGAATCTTTTTTCCTTTTGATCTTCGATGGCTTCGCTGTAATATACAAGTGGTTTGAAGATGAAGAGACTCTGGCAGGACACACGTTGTGTGTGCAGTGCAGCTCTGGCGTTAAATGCGTGCTTGCTTTGTTCCTCTGTCATGCAATGCCTGAAAACTAATACAGTACAGCCCTCATGTGGTGCGCGACTCAGATGTTGACAGGAGGGAAAAGGAGCGACTGAAACGAATGCAGGCAACTGTACGGATATTTATCAGGACGCAGACGCAGCTATTCTAGACTATTTACTGAAGGTGGTCCCTTTAGTCCCGTGGACCTTTGGGAGACGGAGGGCGCGTACCCTGATAGCGGAGGAGAGATGGACGGAGGAGGAGGAGGGTGGTTTGTTGCAGCCTGAGCGTTGGGCTGAAGGGTGGAGACTCAGAGCAGCAGTGAGGAGGGAGGCAGGGAGGATCTCAGCTGGAGCAGAGAGGGAGGGAGAGGGAGGGAGGGAGAGGGAGAGAGGGGGAGAGGCGTACAGAGAGAGGAGTGTGTGTGGACGTACTCCTGCCTCGCTCACTGACTGAGTGTGTGTCTGTGCGGCAGAGCGAGGGGAGGACGCGTGGATACTCTCCTCCACAGGGCTCCATGTGCTTTGGCATCCCAGCAAGAGGCCGCGCATACGACCAGACAGGTAGGACGTGAACATCTTCTCTTGGCGGCGTGTTGTTATTTGACATCCTCCTGTTTCGGTGGCGTCTGGGACGATCACATCACCAGCAGGGTGTGTTCCAGAGAGGGGGAGGCGGGGGGAGGCGGGGGGGTCAGAAGCAGCGCTGTCGTTTTTGTCAGCGCTCGAGGGACCAGATAGATGCCGGCTGGTTCACATCAAGGAATCTCCTCCTCCCTTTAAATTCCCCCAGCCCCCCTCTACCCCCCCGTCACCCCACCCATCTTGCACCCTGTTTCATGTGAGGGGTGAAGAAGAGAAGAGGGTCCCTTCTCTTCTTCCTCCCTCCTTTTTCTCCCTCAAGGAGGTGGCCGGTCCTATAAGCCAGAGGTATTAACGGCATCTGTTTAGGGTGGGGGATGTTTCCACAATGAAGAAGACACAGAGAGAGGGGGGGGGGGGTTGAAATTGAGGAGAAGGAAAAGGGGTCTCAACGATACAGGAGAAGAACCCCACAAGCCTCCTGTGAGGTTTTCCACCCATTGACAACTCCCACCCTTCATACGGCGAGGAGAAAGCAGCCGACCACACACAATCTGTGTAGTGGTTTAATCAGGCAGATGGCCGGGAGAGGAGGAGGAGGAGGAGGAGGAGGAGGAGGAGGAGGAGGAGGAGGAGGAAGAGGAGGAAGGGGGGGGGGGTTCAGTGCTTTTATGTTGCTCATAGAGAGATACAGTCGCTGACAGCACCATGCGTTCACAGAAACGAGAGAAAAAAAAACAAGAAAACAAAGACAGATGCTCTGTTTTTCCCACTCTTAGCTCGTCACTCGAACGCGTCGTCACCCACGACTCGCATTAAACCGTCCAATCGTGTGTGTGTTGCGTTTCCAGGCCTGTTACAAACGCACACAGCGAGTCAGGATTACGCAAGAGCTCACGCGTCCGCGCCGTCTCGTGTCGTGTTTCTTGGCTAAAGCCGCTCCGAGGCCACAGATTGTTTCACACGCGCGAACACGAGGTTGACGCCTGAAGAGCAGCTCGCAACGATTAACCAGACCCGTCCAAAGCCTCGAGAGATCCCGCCGAGCACAACGGGGATATTTGAGTCGAACTGATAGAAAGCAGAGAGGGAGTCGGGGAGGAATGATCCAATTCACACTCTCCACCTCCGTCACTTCTCCCAACATGCCATCCAATCCCTGGACTGAGCTTCAGAGGAGCATAACTCAAGTAGCCGGAGGCAGGAAGGGTGCTTTGACCTTTGGGCTCCGCACACGCGCTCACAGTGTTGATTTTGGGTTCCAACCTGAATCCGTCGAGCATCCAGAGACGGCCTCCCTTTTTTTTAAAAAGTCTTTCGGGAGCCAAATCTTTTCAAACCAAGTCTCACGTCTGTGAAAGTTTCCAGGCAGGTTTTGGACCAGATGTATATGCGACATAGTTTGGACGTAGTGTAAATGTTTTTCAGTCTTTGGGGACTCATTAGCCTCTCGTTATAAGTCTTGTGCAAACAAGCCTCAAGCCCCTGAGGGTTAAGCACGCCTCTTGTTGTTGTTGTTGTTGGGTTTAAGGCTTAAGTCAACACAAGTCTCACACCTGTCAAGTTTCAGTCTTGTTCCAAATGAGTCCGACTCTCAACTGAGAGAGTGTGTCGTTTTCACGTCTCTCAGGACCAACTTGTAAGTCCACTTTTCTTTCCTTGGTAGGACTCTTGTACCCTCAGGAAGTCAAATCTAGCAGTCGTCCAAGTCAAGTCAGCATTCTTGCAACTTCTTCTTCTGACTCGACTCCAAAGTCTTCAGGCCCCGGAAGCACGAGCTACGAACGGGAGTCTCTGACAGCGCGGATGAAATCCCTTTCACGACTTTGGGCCAAACGTACGTGTGGATGAACGGGTCCGAGCGACGCACTCCGACTCTCAGCGGACTCACAGCAAGCCCGGATGTTTGTGACGTTGTTAAGAGCCCAGGAGTCTGGCCGTGTTATTCTTGGCGTGCCCGTTGATTCCACAGGAAAAGTGTGTTTATGCCTCCTCGCTCGGAGCGAATGCGGGAAATCCTGCTGATTCATCGAGGCCCGAAACCGCGGAGCAGAGAACTTTAGTGAACTTCTACGCCGGGTAACACGGCCATTTGTGACACGAGGGGCGGGAGGTCAACCCTTTAAAATACAGGATGGCCAACGAAGAACACTGCAGAGCTAGAATTCACCAGCATCGTATATATCATGTAGCTGGTGTTAGTAACTGGTCGCACAAAGCACACGTCTTTAAGAATGCTTCTACAGAATGGCGGCGTTCTTGCGGCAGCGATGGCGGCCATTGTTTCTACCCCACATACCACTCTGCTGTTACATAACGCGCCTTTCAAAAGGTCTTAAAACGTTTGCGTGAAAGAAAACCACTCGCTCACCGCTTTGATCTGACAAAGAAGAAGACAAGCCGGGCCTTGATTGTTTGATTTGATCAACATAATAGACCACATTTGTGCTCCCCGGAGCAATAAGCCTCTTCCCTGCTGCTTCCTCCACTCCCAGAGGATGCATCATTTCCTGGGCCACTGCCTTCTCCCCTCCCCCCCTTCAGGGACCTAGATTCAACCCCGACACACACACACACGCACACACACACACACACACACACACACACACACACACACACACACACACACACACGGCACAATCTCTAAGATGGCAGGATGGGCAGGGCACGCTGAGGGTGCCACAGATGTCCGGACTAATGGAATATTCGCGGGCGGTGGTGGTCTGACCGAGAGGCAGCAGCACAGGAAGCGGAGAGGAGGAGAGTTGGGGCTTAATGAACAATTTAACGGAAGCTAATATACGCGGAGAGCTGTCAACGTTTCGCCTCAAATGTTTACTTGAGGGAAACAATTAGAAATACACCGGGTAAATTAAGCAGCGTGATCCTACAACACGGCCGCAGGTCAACATTTGAGAGGAGCAGCTCAGTGGTTCCTGGATTTTTCTTTCTGGTCTTTTCTCACTGGCTTACGGTGGCGGAGTTCTGCTGGAAAAAACAGCTTAATAGTTGAATTGTCTTTTTAATTTGACCTGATGAATCTAGCCTGACATTTAAACTCATTGCTTGTTGATAGACGGAGGTATGGAGGTGCCACTATTGTATTCAACGGGAGTACATCTACAGAGGAACATATTTTGATAATGTGTCGTTAATATGTTTCTAGTGTTCCTTGTCATATTGAAAAAATATATAGCAAACCTCTTGAAAATCGTATTTTGTGGCTAAACTGTTGGATCTTCCCACATAGTTGGAGGCTGAGAGCCAGGAGGTCAGCTGCAGGTCAGAAATAGTGATGGAGAAGGACGCTCAGCTGCCACACTGGCGTCATCTCCCCCAGACGGTCGTGGCCTGACAGCTCTGCTCTCTGTGTCCCTTTGTCTCTGGGTGCAGAGGGAGGTGCGTCCTTTCTCCCGTCCAAGGGCAGGGATCTGTGCCATATCACGTTCAATCGGCAATATCCATCTTGTGTTAATAACCTCGGAGGTCAGTTGTGTTTCACCTCTTTAATCTTCCTGATGAACTCTATTGCTATTTATTCCTGCTCATTCTGTGTAACCTCTCTATCCCGTTCACGTCTCTGTTTGTTCAGGTGAATGTGTTCTTCGCTTCGCCCCGTTATCGCAGCCTGTACCTCTTTGTCTGAGGACACACACCACAGAATGGTTACAGTTGCTTCAGTTGCACCGTGATGACAAACTTTCTGCGAAAAAAGCCTCGGATTTGGTTTTGTAGTTAAAGACACACCAAAAAAAAACCACACAATCGCATTGATTACAAGGACCAATATCTTTGGAGCGGTGAATTTGCCGAGTTGAAACTCGACGTGCATAGCAACAGTAACTAAGGGGGGGGGCGGGATAATTGGCCTGAAATACATCTGCGCAGGCGTCCCATCCTGTCTCCTCGTCCTCGAGGCCCCGCGGACCCTTGCGGGCCAATCACTGGCTCTCCAGATGACTGAGCAGGGGACATGTTTTTAATTACCACACTCTGATTTCACACACGGGGCATCGCAGAGGACAGAACCGGCCCGGCCACCATAAGTTCTGTCTTTGGATTGTCTAAGAGGATGATGCACTACGGACAGAGAACAGGGGAGGAAGGTGGAGGGAGGACCGGGCTGCGAGTATTGACGGTGCAGTAGAAATCCTCCCTCTCGAAAGGCCAGGATTTATATTTCCCTCCCCAGGATGTTTCCTGTGGCCCTTAATCACTCTCTAAGTCAGCGACCCCCAGAGTCAGAACAGCTCTAATCACATCTGTGGAGGGCCGCGTCACGAACACAGAGCCCCCGAAGAGCGTGAGGAAGGAGTTCAAACCTGCTCCAAATGGCAGGGGAAGGATGGTGCAGGGGGTCAGATCGATTGGGTGGTGTTAGCAGCAGGTGGGCGCGTGCTGGGGGCGTTTCAGTCTCACCAGCCGAACACCTGTCACCCACAGAGGGAGGGACGGGAAGCAGAAGGCTAGAACCGGGGAGATGAATGGATCAGCAGCTACGTCCCATAATGCACTTCAGTTAAAGATGCCACACTGCAGGCAAGGTTATCGCGCAGCAGTTAAGTAAGTTTTAACATTGCCTGCCTCTCGCTGACGTAAATATGATGACACAAATCTAATTGAGAAACTTTTATTTCTGTTATTTTTATTTTGCCCTTTTAGCAGCGTACAGTAAATTGATGGAGAGAGAGACGATGCAAAACGTGTAATAGCTACATTGTGGAACGTGGTATTCTCACACTTTCTTCCCAAAATCGTGACAATACTACATTTTATTTTGGCCCGTTCATTTACATTGCCTTGCAACTGCTTCACTAGAAACTAATAAACGGAAGGTCTTCTACATTCTCTGATAGAAGATTATTAAGTTTGGACTATAAGTTGACGTCAAAACTCATAACAATAACTATTACCAGAGCACACCACTTTTAGAAAACCACAGTTCCACCCGAAAAGCTTCATCTTCTCCGATCTACTGTGTAAATCAAAAGACATCTATATATGATATTTAATTCTATTGCCATTGTGATAATGTTTTAACTTACAAATAATGCTCCCTTGATCAATGCAGATCAATTATTAGATCGTTAGTATTCTGTTCAGTCGTGTTTCTGGCCGCTTGATGGATATCAGGCCAAAGTTCACTCTCTTTTACCTCTGGTTGGTCTCCAACGACAACAATAGTCAGCTCAAACAAGGAGGCCTCTAACTCAGTCAGTCAGTGTGCTGTTGGGTAGGAGGATAGAACTGTTTTTAGAAGCAAACTACATTTTGGGCTGTAAAGAAAGATGAAAGAAGCTAAATGAGATGCATTGTTATAGAGAGCCGTTGGTGTATAAAAACCATTGGTGTCTCGTTAAAACAACGTTACAGCTTAATAACCTGCATTCCAGAGGGAATCATGTTGTAATTACTCCATACATGTGCTGATGATCAATGTACTGATCCAGCTATTATACAGCTCCCCTAACACAAAGTAACAGTGTGAATTAACTCCAGTGAATCAGGAGGTAACGATACAGTAAAAACCCGGACTCTTCTTTGCATTGCGAATACGCTACAAGGTTCAGGGGTTTTGACTGCTGTTGGCCAGTTTGTTTTGGATATCAGACGCTTTACTGTAACGTTGTTTTAACGTTGCACGCTGCCCTGATTTACGATAGGTGGAATTCCCTTCCTCTGCAGATCTGCTCATGCAGTATAATTGGCCCATTTATCAGAAACGCCCGTAACTGAGCTGCAGATTCAGAGATAAATGAATCTATTGGACCAGAGAAAGAGAGAGAGGGAGGGTAGTAAGCAAGAGGAAGAGCAGATAATGGGTCAGAACCGACAAAAATAAAGTTTTATATTTTGGGAAAATACAGTCGAGAGGTAAATGAGAATTTTTTACCAATGTGAAGATGGAGCCAGCAGCTGGTTGGCTCATAACAAGCAGCTTCCTGGCTCTGTTCAGAGGTCTAACGGCTCACTAGCACTTTATACCTCATTTATTTTGTCAGTACAAAATCAAAAGTGAACACAGTTGAAACACAACTTCTCAAACGAGAACAAGCTAAGCTAAGCTTATCTTTTCTGGCTATAGCTTTATATCTATCGGACAGACATGAGACGCCTATCAATCTTTTCCTCTAACTAAAACGAGTTAAGCTGCAAATGTGACATTATTCCTTTTAGAGCAGAACTGAGATCAGGTCTTTGGTTGAAAGCATCGCCAATCACTGGTCTCGGTGTCCCGGCCAAGAAATATTCCCACGGCAGCTGGTTGGTAGAGTTGATTAGATCTAGACAAAGCGACAAAGAGACGCTTCCACCGCGCTTCCTGTCTTTATGCTAAGCTAAGCTAATCAGCTGCAGCCTGTGTCTTCACATCAAGCGTATCAATCTTCTAATGTACCAACATGTTGAACAACCTTATTAATCCCCTCAATCACGGTTTAAGAGGGAGTAGTGACACTTTGACACGCAGTGATCAGAGGACACAAGGTTCTGCGTAACTGATCAGGACGGCAGGAATAGAAACGTTCCGCCCGCATATTCTTCTCTTCAACCTCTCTCATCTCTTCCTGCAGAGTTGGTGGGGTACAAAGTGCTGACTGAGCAGCAGACGGACACCAGGGCAGAGTGCGGAGGAGCGAGCAGACGAGGTAAGTCAAGGCCGGCGAGAGGAGGAGGCATCGTAGCATGTTAACGTCAGCCAGTTTCTCAATGTTGCAGCACGATTGGCAGAAAGCTGCGCACAGGAAACGCACCTCCGGCCTCCGGCCTGCGTCCGTCTGTCTTTAATAGATCCGTGCCCGTTGTCGCCGCTATCAGCATGCAAACACCATGTGCAACATCGCAGGGTGGTATTTGGGGCAGCTGACAGATTGGAAGGAAGGAAGCGCAAGAGGTCTCATGAAATACAGAACGGCAGAAGCAGTGGAGATATGTTGTAAAAAACACAACACACACGTTAAAAAAACTAATTTCTTTAGTGTTCATCAACCAGTGTGAGGATCAGGACGTCCTTTACATTCCATCGTCGCCTCCCCCCCCCCCACCCCCCCCTCTAGATATGAAAAGGTCAGTGAGGCATTTTCCAGTGCTACAATGACAATAAGCAAGAAAAGGACCTTGCAGACCCAGTAAGAGCTGTCCAATATAACTTGAAACATATTCTGTCTTCAGATTTTTTACGTATTCGTTTTGTTTAAAAAAAATTAGCAAACCCAACTGAATCTTGTTCTACGCAATTGTGGAAGTCCCCGATTTTTAGATTCTATTATTTTTGTGCTTGTAATGGCGATATCGGTTTGTTGGGACATGCTGAGAGTGTGATGGTGAACAACGTGACGTTTAATGCTTTGATCAGCCATCCTTACATGTGAAGCCTTTCATTTCAAAGGCCGACCCTCCAAAGTCACCAGAGTTGGCACAATCTAAACGGGATGCTTCATTCCTTTGCCTTGCACTGCCATGAGTACATTTCTTTTTCTGTCTATTCCGCTCAAACTAGGCTTTAGTGTCACAGAGTCTGCTGTTTTTGTGTAAAGAACACAACCCTACTTTTTCAAAGCCATGCCAGTGTCTCCTCTTCCTATCAATAGTGTGGTGATGTACGCTGGCCTGTTTTGACGTTTCCCCTGAGTGTCGAAACAATATTATGGCCTCGATGCAAAAGATGCCAAAGACCAATTTCTACTTGTAGATCGCAGTTTTAAAATAAATCTCTGGGCTATTTTTATTTCGGTGGGCGAAATAAGTGAGGTTTGTGTGAAAAAAGTCCCAAAATGATTGTACATACGTATCACTAAATGTCTTCAATCTCCTTATTACCAGGACATATATTACAAAATATGGTACATACGCGGGAGCATTAACACAAAGGGACGCAGGATTTTAGCAGCCTGTAGAAATACCAACACAGCAGGCGCATGAGATCCTTTATGACTGGAAAGGATTATTTAATACAACTCTCAAACGTCTTCAATTCTAAACCTCACGAAAATATATAAACTAAAATAAAAAAAATAGATGAAAGAAAATATATGCAACATTTTTTGGGGGAAAATCTCTGGAACAAAGAAGCATATAATAATCATTTTCTATGCAGCGTTTGGGCCTTTTAGTCAAACTACAAAAAAAACTGATTTCCTTCATTTACTGTCACCAATGATAACCTAAGAATGTCTCTCTGGGAAACAGAAACTTAAACACCCTAAAAGGTGAAACCATCCTCGGGGTGAGACCTCTGTGATCTGTCAGCCACAGTGACTGTAAAACTAATATTGATATCACACTGTTTATACTGTGCAGTCTGCTGCCGGTTGCTCATAAATTCTCCTCAGATTGCCGTGCGGCTTCACCAAAAAGTCTGTTGAGATTTTCCAGACAGGTTTGAAAGAAATCATACCTAAAAATGTGTGAATACTGTGTATTTTCACTTAAACTTGAAGCAGTTCCCAACAAATATTAAGAAATCACCTCCACCTTTTTAAAGAAATTGATCTTGCAATGTTTTCATGTAATTGCGTTATATCTTATGGGGTAAACAATTAAGCAATTCATTTAAAAACTGCTGCCATATTAATCACATGTATCTACACATCGAACGATCGCGCGACACAACCGTAACCAGGGACCGCGTGCGGGATCCGACCGCTCGTCGGCTCGGCGTGAACGCAGCGCTTCTCCTGACGAGCAGGTGCGCCGCTGTGGACCATCGATGCTCGTGCTCAGATCCGTCTCAACCCACGGCGCCCGCAGAGGGATGACGGAGGGGCAGATTGATCACACGCTGTCGGGAGGACACGGCGGCGGACGCACAGCGTGATCCGTTTAATCAGAGAGGTTACTAAGGACGCGGCGCTGAGACTGTGCACCACTACGGGAAGGTGACGAGCCTGAATAGATTGGCTAAGAACTGTTTGATGGGGACGTAACAGACCGTTCTACAGTACATCAGTAACGATGTTTAACGATGTAAAATAAACGTGTTATGATTGCATTTTTAACGAGAAATCAATGTTAAGTTGTAAGAATACAATACTAACCCTAACCCCCTCAAAAAATCCAACATGGCGGAGAGACGTTCACTCAAGGGGCGTGGTTAACCACCGCCAGTTAGTATGTATTGTTACGAATTTCCATGTCAAATATTTCGTATACATTTTTACGAACAGGTTTTGGAGATCACGTCAGCAACAGAAATGCATCACGTGCAGCTTTGTTGGCTGCTCTGTAACATCTTTTTTTTCGGGCGCAATCTGATTTGTCGTCCGCACACGACGCAGAGGGAGGCGTTGAAAGGCATGAGGGGGCATTTGGTGTATATGGACTTTAGTGATGAAGATAATGGCTTAGATCCTCATGCGTTTGCTGCATTTCACTATTTTTCTAGCTGATATGTTAGACCCAATTTAAACCATGTCCAACTGAAAGGCAGGTCAGGAATCAGATCCTAACACCGCAAGATTAAAACTAGAACAAAATGTAAGTCTATATTTTTCTGCAATTGAAATGCCAGCGTTGTCAGGATAAAATGTCTTTTTTGTGTCTTTTTTCTACTCATTTTAGTTTTGTTATCTTTTTTGAACATGGTGGACAAAGCATTGCCCCCTCACCCCTCTCCCTCTCACTATGAGGGGCTGCCTAGCAACTGACCCCATAAATAATATGCCTTTGTGTGTGTGTGTGTGTGTGTGTGTTCCCAGCCGTGTGTTAATCAACAGGCTTATCTGTTACCAGCACTCCTCTTTGCACTGCTGTAATACACTCTCATCACTCTTCATCACTCCCACTGTGGACAAACTTTCAGAATGTCCTTCTCGTCTTGTAGGCAGAACACCGAGGACCTGACCGCCAGCGGCCATGGCGAGCAATAACACGGCCAGCATCGCACAAGCCAGGAAGCTGGTGGAGCAGCTGAAGATGGAGGCCAACATCGACCGGATAAAGGTGCCCAGAAATGATTTGTCACTGCGCTGCCATTCCCTTGACCACACTCTGTACTACATTTAGTCAATAACAGTCAACGCGTAATCGCTGTTGATTTCCCTGGTGAAAAGTACCTCCTCGCCTCTGAAGTCTGAAAGTAAGCGCGCAGCGGCCAGCTTTCAGCCATCCGTGACCTGCTTTCTAAAGAGAGCCCTCTGGACTGGTTCCATGTAGGATCGGTGCTCTTTCTACCAAACTACACCCGCATCCCCGCGCAGAGGGAAGCGACCCCCGTCTGGTGGGCAACGTGACGACGTTAATGGCGTGTGTGTGTGTGTCTGTTCACAGGTGTCGAAGGCAGCAGCGGACCTAATGTCGTACTGCGAAGCCCACGCCAAAGAGGACCCTCTGCTGTCGCCGGTGCCGGCCTCAGAGAACCCGTTCAGGGAGAAGAAGTTCTTCTGCGCCATCCTGTAGGCTCGGCCCGGCCCTCCGGCAGTCTGCTCAGTGTGGGACTTTCAACTAGGACGTTCAAAACACGTAGAAATCATCTAGTAGGAGGGGCACGGCGACTATTGCCCCCCCCCCGACCCCCCTCTTCCCTCCCTCCTCAACCTCCCGCCCCCCCATCCCGCTCACTCTCTTGGACAGCACATAAAAAGTGTGAAATTTAAAACCTGGTTTACTTGTAACTGTTAAGGGGGGGGAGGGGGGGATGTGATGTTTGAAAGGGTGTTCAGCATGTTGAAGGCTCTGTGCTCTTGGGTGACGCAAAAAGGATGATGACTGTGATGATAAGTCGTGACGGGCGGCCAGTCCACGTACCGAGTCTTCAGGTTGTGATGTGTACAAAAAAAGACAATAGATAAAATGAAAATAAAAATAGTTTGTGGGATGTTCTGTTAAATGGTTTGTTTGGTGGGTCGACTGACGGAGGACAGCAAACCCAATACGCTGACCACTAAATGCCACCTGACTATTGGATTTATTCTGTTTTTGTGGAACAGCTCGGTTTACTTTTCATTTTTTTGTTTTTACACCACCAAGTTAGTGAAAGCTTTTCAATGGGATGTTTGAAACATTTGACATTTGAAAAAATATGTGTCTGGATATCAAGTCTTTGTGTATCAACATCTATCTGCAAATGTGATGCAGTTTGTCTCCTTCAGATACAAAACCCTCTTTCTACTGTTTGTATAAAATGACTAGCAAGTAAAACGTGCTGTGCTGTGAGGTCTGAATGTTTGTGTTTGTATCATTAACGATTGCATGAAATGGACAAACAGCCTTTTCTATATCCATTCAAGTGGAGATTGTATAACACATGGGCATCCTCCATCTGAAAGTGCCAAAACATATTAAAAGCAAGAATGATTCAATATGGACTCAACAAGGACATCTCTCACATATAAATAATTCTGGAAACAGAGGCAGAGGAATCTCATTTACATAGTAATTAGATATTTGAACTGCAGATGATATCAGATGTCTGGATTGATTTGGTGAAGCTTGGTGTGGATCTGTTCAGATATATTTATATATATTCGGGCAAACTAAAAACACTTTTCACATTTCAGATTAAAAAAAACTACTCATCCAAAATCTATAGCATGAATAGTCCTTTTTGGTATGTTCAAATTCCTAATTAAAGCCCTATTATGCAAACACAATGAGAAATATACAAGCCTAAATTCTCCAGTTATGTGGTCCAGTGGTCAGTGGGTTAGATCGCCGTGGTAACTTTGGCTGCACACATTACCTGCTCAGGAGCAGGGGTCCCTTCCATAGAGCAAATTTCCCAAATAAACCAGGCCTATTCCTGTTAGTCTCATTGTCAGCTTATTTGGTTGCAGAAAATCAACAGTTTGAGCTCAGTAACTATGGCAACTTATGCAGTGGAATAAGTCTGGTATGAGTCCTGTAACACTGACCTAACAGAAAAAGGATTGGTTTTACCATGGGCCTTCTGGAGTGATGCTATAATATTTAAGACCCCTACATTAATACGCTGGAAAATTACCCAACTTCCTGCTTACCTTATCTTCTGATCAGCTGACCCAACGTCCTGCTTACCTCACCCCCTGATCACCTCACCTAACTTCCTGCTCATCTTACTTCCCTTGTTTATCAATCCAATGCCACTGACTTCCCTCCCTCTATTTGTCCGTTTGTCCTTCATGGAGTTTTGTTTACTTCATTACTGACTAATGTTCCTGCCTGCTTTGTGGACTCTCTGCTTTGTAAGTTCACTCCTTTATTAAATCATTTAGCTGCACAAGTTAAACTGCAAATGCAACTTATCATTTGTTGTACACTGCACAACTCTGTTACCCAGGTAGCCTCATAAGTACTTTAACGTGCGCCGTGATTGGTCAGTAGGCCAACGTGACTTTGGTCAAACAGAAAGCTAGCTAGCACATCTTAGTATTTTGTGATAGTTCAGGTTGAACTTTGTCTGTAAATAGTGAACAGCATTTTATACGTGAAATGCTTTTGTGTCTTTACATGTTGTCATGTGTATATTCGGTTATAGCCGTTCGTTACGGCTGCCGTCGGAAACCTCATGTGGGTCATTCAAAGATATGCAAAGCAGGCTGTGATATCCCCCACTCCTGATTGGAAGATCGAGAAGACCCGCCCAGCAGTCTCGGCCAATCGGAGGATCGCCATCGCCGGTCCCGCCAGCTCAAAATGCCTGACTGATCGCAGCTGAGCAGTAGGGCCGAGTGAGAAAAGTGGTCGGTGGTCGGTTCCTTTGTCCGGACGGCAGGTTCCGGTGGTCGGTGAAAGGTTCCTTTTTCGGAGCGGCAGGTTGCATTGGTCGGTGGTCGGTTCTTCCGGTGGTCGGTGGAAGGATCCTTTCTCAGTGGCGACATGGACCCGCCCCCTCCTCCTCATGCAAATTACATGTTAATGAGCATCTTCACGACCACGCGTTTGCCGTAAATCATTTTTTTCTAACTTTATTGAGAATCAGGCACAACACATCGACCTGCAAGTAGCGCATCGTCTTAAATAATGAACTGATGTGTGTCTTAATGCGATGCTTTAGAAATGAACACACAGGGATTCTGTATTTGTTCATAAAGTCTGAAAAGGGTCATTTGGGCCACGTTCTGATAACCGACCGCAGCGAGCGGAGAGAGAGCACCAGCGGACTGACAGCAGCCCCCCGCCCCGCAGCCCCTCCCCACCCCGGACAAACCGTCCACTCGACCACTACAAATGGGCTATTTAGCGTGCGCGGTCGATACACATGTCCCTTTATTGTTTTAGCGTCGCCTCTTTGATTATCGCCACCGTCCTACGATGTGATCACCAGGTCACATGAACCGTCGCCACCTTCCCATGATCCATGATGCAATTGCACTTTTATGTTTTGTTGAGTTTGTAGCTATATTGTTGTCAAGTTGCCGAAGTTCCTACTTTGTTGCACTTTTCCCCAACTTGAAATAGGGATGGAATGTTTTACGTGGAGTTTTAGGTTACTGGATTGCACTTAAATTGCAGACCGATTGAATGACTGAGAGTCCCAGGCAGTAGCTACGTTTCACTTCTTTTCTTTTTATTTCAGGTTAGCAGCATTTGGTCACATGATTATCTCATGCAATTAATTAGGCACTCAGGTAAAAAAAAGCTTTAATCATAAAATAGTCACAAAATATTAGAATAACACTTCAAAGAACCATTCAAATCACAGCAAACAAGTCAAAATCAAACCATACAACTAACTAACCCATCACTGTCATTCCCTTCAGCACAGCAGAAAGCCCCACAAGAAAATGAAACGCTGAAAGGTCATAGTCCCCCCTCTCCTGAAGAAGATGAATATTTTAATATTTGAACGGTTTCAATAGCTGAAAGTGTGAAGGAGTTGAAAGGTGCCACGGAAGAAATAAAAGATGATGACAAGAAGTTTCGAAGAACAATACTTGGAAAAGAGCTAGAAAGGTCATAGCAGAAATGTCCTGAAGAAGATGAATATTTTAATATTTGAACGGTTTTAATAGCAGAAAGTGTGAAGAATGTGTACAACTCATAATGACATCATTGACATCAATGACATCATTGACATGACATACGTAACATCGCCTTGGCAACCGATGACATCATCAAGATCAAAGGGCATTTCCATGACAATCGGCCACATTCCAACATTCTATTTGTGCTCCTGTGTCAAGACATCTTTCACACCCAACTTTGCAGGACAAAGGAAGGCTTACTCAGGCAAGCTAGTGTACTGACTAATTCTTAAGGATTTACACAACTGTTTTAGCATTGAGATAAGATGGAGAACGTGATAGATAGTGACTCAGTATACAGCAGTGGATTTCTTGATGCATTTACATGTTGCTTTAGAAGCTGCATGTTGTTGAAAAGAAGATCACAAGTCCGACCTGTGGAGAGTGAAAGCATCTTCTTGCAGTTTCAAAATACAGCAAACGCAGACAAGTCTTCATGTCCTGAGTGTTCACACAGAGATAAGATGGACAACATGAAAGACACTGTTTCAACACAAAGCAGGCAAAGCGACAGAATTGAATCTGAGATTGCCGAAACGCTCATCAAGCGCGCACAGGGGAAAAGAGTTAAGAAACCTTTCATTTTAAAAAGGATCTGGAGATTCTTAAAGAAGTCAGGAAAGCGTCCTGGAGAACCTGACGATGACCTTTGTAAAAGCAGGAAGAAAAACGTTTCTGGTAGGTCCAAGCCAGCAGAGCACAATGAAGAGAAGAACTCGGACTCTCTGCACGTGAGACTCCCCGTGGTGAAGACTGAGGTTGGATTCATTCTGCCGACTACACCACCAGGGAGGAAAAGAAGCAGGAAGAGAAAAAATTGTGTTACGTCTGAGCCAGCAGAGCACAATGAAGAGAAGTCCGCGGATTTGGAGAAACCGTCACACAGCGGAAGACAATCAGAAAACTCTTCTTCTA